GCTGACAACCAGAGTTGAGACGGAAAAAAACGCATAATCCGTTCAGATTTTGCGAACCTAAGCCGGGAAAATGCAGCTTGATATTACAGATATATACACTTAGAATAAACAAGAACAGGTTTTCGCGACTCAGGGTCATTGGACTGGGACTGATCAAGTAGCTGGCACTCAAAATGATCAAACTTCAACTGAAGTGAAGTGTGACAAACATAATTGTGTTACGCTTCAGGTGCTTCCTCGGAATCCCAACTTAATCAATTCCTCGAATGTGGTCGGTTTTAGTCAGTATATGCTCATGAGGAGTGTATGGATGTGAGATATTGACCCAGCTGTTCTAGGATTTACATCAATGGACCTGTATTTCTGTATTTCTTAATCGGAACAATACCTGATTCATATCGACCATTCAGGAGGTATCTGTTTCTTTACTCGAGGACAAAAGTGAGCCACCGTCCGGGAGATTAATCTTCGTTCCTCAAATGATTAGTGTCGGGTTAATCTGTCCTAAGCAAGCTCCAGGTTGTTTAAAATAATCTATATTCTGAGTCAGGAGTAGCGTTCGACTTTTTTGTTGCACGCAAGTGCCCTAGTTTCTCCGAGAGTGGATGAGATCCGGAGAAACTAATTCACAGAATACATTCCTCAAAGGACTTACCAGAAACGCTGTGGCTCATGGTGAGTGTGATTTCACCAAAGCGGGTGGGAGAGCCACGATCTGGAGCGATAAACAAGGAGACGAGCGACGGGAACAGAAAATGGACAAGATTTTGAACTTTTTCGATCCTTTTGTTTTAGACATGGTGGGCGCGAGCAGTACAGGTTCCATTGGAAGGTCGGGGACTGTTTCTCATGGACGCAAGATAAGACTGGCAGCATAGCGGCAACACTGACACACAACGGTAATTAGACACACATCGACTGGGACTCCAGTTTTGAGCACCCCTAACAAAAATCCTAGCCGTATCATGCATATAAACAGATCACAGGCTGATTTCTTTGTCAAAAAATAATTTAGCACCATGATTTGATGGGCAAACTAGACCGGTATGAAAGATAGATTCCGGGCAATAGCTATTCCGTTCAAAACTGCCGCGAAATGCGGAACAGTAAGTAGATCCCATGGTGTAAATAAGTATCGACATACAGGGAGCTACCGAACACAATGCACTGAACGTGAACAACACTGACTCATTGAAGCCAGACAATGAAATTCATCACAAAATACTCCGTAATCAGTTTCACCTTCACCTTGGCGCAAACGTCAAACGCGGCAAAAAAAAAAATCAGATCCACGAGGACGTATCTTATTCACCGGGGGACTGTCCGAATGGGCTCGGTGGTGATTGGTCAATGAGGAGTTTGTCAGCGGGAATGGGTGAAACAAGTTGACCGCTTCGGAAAGACGGTCCGCTAGAATGTGGTTACTTTTAACGCATCGAGTTAGCCTCGCTCGAAAACCGGATGCATGTCCACACCCATCCAATCACGCTTCTTCAAACTCTCACACGAACCGGTCAAACAGATAGTGAATTTTGACGGAGAACCACGGGAGTGCGTGTCGACCGATTGGTGAAACGTTTCTTAGACCGGGCTGCCACTTAGTCCGATATTAATCCACGGCTGAGACACATTCACTGCATGGTTAAATATGTTGGAAAATTTGAACTGATAGAAGATAGACATCTAAAACGGACCACAAAGGTTAATTGGTCAGACAAAGTAAAGCTAAATTTCTGTTACCGAACAGCTGTGACAGCTTCTACAACAACAACAACAACAACAAGAAATTGCAATGACTGGGCGATGATCAAGGTCATCAATTGATCATCAGGAGCCAAAGAAAATCAGTCATACACTCCGTTCCACTGCATGCAAGTCGGGTACGCTGAAAGTTTTTGAAAAATTACTCCTGGTCAAAAGGTCAGCAAAGATAAATATTCATTATCCATTGATTATTGATGCCCTAGATTCCAACAACCGTTATACTCTTTCCTCACTGGATATCCGGGGCAAAAACGGTCTGGTTGTGTTTCCCCTGAATTACAATAACACATTCAAAAGTGTTGATAGGAAAAAAAATTTTCTCTCTGTCTCTCTCTCTTCCTCAAGAATCGATCCTTCCCTCCTGTCTGCACTGTCCGACTATGGCATCTACCGAAAATAATTTACATGCGATCACGTAAAAGTTCTCTCACTCATTCTCTCTCTCTCTCTTACCACTACCACACTTGAAATTCTCTACGGAGCCTATATCGTCACCGTTTCCTCTTCTCTCATGTCACATGTCGCCCATGACGTTGGACACCAATTATTTACTGGTACAATACGTGAACGGTGTGGTTTTTGACTCATCCTGTTCGAATGACGAGGAAGATTACTTCAACCGACACTATGTAATCTAGCTGCTCGGCGAATGACAGGATGATCATAACTTAATCCTGTGCGGTTTTTCCTGCTGTTACAATCTTTGGGAGAACAGCTTAAACGTTGACGCAATTACAGACAAGTTATTCACGATCTTTCTTCTATAGATTACCCTGGATGTGACCTTAAATCGGAATCTCACATGGTCCGAACATATCTAGCATCCCAATCCGTTTCCTATGGGGTTTCCCAGTTGACGCGAAAACTGTTCAGTTCTTTCTTATCCCTGAGTGAGACATATTCTTTGATTCTAACAATTACCACCCCATTTCACTCGCCTTGTCCGTGTCAAGGTCATGAAACTAACTAGTAACTATGACTAACTCAGTAACTACTAAGTGTAACAAATCTTCGGAGTCACTTGGAACGCTGCGAACTTCTTGATGACCGGATTCCACTGAAACAGATCCACTGAAGACCTGTTCATATATACGTCACGCTTTTGGACCTCCATCATTGGACACTACGCGGGAGCTTCCATCGTAATGCCGGTTAACGTTGACGCAGTCAGTTCGAGAGCACTCCCAGCACACAAAGTTCCATGTAATATCCCAACCTCTATTTTTCTCTTCATCAACGACCTCTAGTCTCATACCATCAATCCTATTTGTGCTTTTGTCATCCTACATTGATCTCTTGCTCACAACAATTTCCGTGGTTTCTCTGTGAAAACCACTGAAGGGCTTGCGCCTCACTCAGCTCGGATCTGAGTGCCATCGGTGCTTGGGACACTAAAACTGGGGTCCCATTGTCAAGTTTCCCTAACCAGGAAACTCAGAAAACCTGTTGAAAGGCGGCATCCAAATCATCTTCGTTGAGAAAAATCGCTGAATTTCAAAAACACTCCCCCAGTTCAGTTCTCTTTCTCATAACCTTTCAATGCTCAAGAATTACCAAACGGTACTTTGAATGAATATCTCCTCATCTTCACTTTGTAGAAGTATTCAGGACTATGGAATTTACTTCTTTACGGTACACCATACGTGTTTAGTACTAAGAACACATTTTGGAATATCATGGTATCAGGAAAACTACTTTGTTTTGGGACAATCAAGTGTTGGCCACTAGATCTCACCTGGCGAACACACATTACGAATGAGGTGTCGGCACACATACAGAAGGCTCTCGATTGGCAATTACCACTTTGAGACATCTGACAGTGATTTAAAACATTGCAATCTGACCGTGAATCTCTTTCATCCATATGAATATTCATGAAACAGCAACCAAAACCAGCGCACAAAAGTACATGGTTAATAGTTGTAAACACTGAAACTCAACTGAACACAACTCCCAGGTAACTGGTTCGCACCTTCAGTCCAACAACACGATTGACAACTGACTACCCAGCCAACCGATCCTTCTATATATGTGGTCGCATGCCTTCCCTCTTCCCTATAAATAAGCATTTTACAACAATCGATCTTATTAAGCCCTTGACGTTTGCGTGCATCTTACGAGACCACAAATACACCTCATCGGTGATCTTCCCAGGTTTAATTTTTAATAAACATTTCCAACCAATCTCCAGGTCTCCCAGAAAACACGGTCCACGATGCGAACTTCCCTATGCACTGTGGGAGAAAAAGGACGACGTTTCCTTGTCACTGTGGAGTATCGTGTTCAATATTGACACACCAGTTACAGATAGTGACGCTTTGTCGACTCGTTCTGATCACGTGAAGTAATCGATATTTACGGAGAACCTACAAATGATATCATTTGTCTAGCTACGGAACAGAACCGAGCTATAGAAGAAAAATAAAAATTAAATTAAATTAAAAAAAATAAAAGAATAAAAGCGTAATTCAACGAAAGACCTCTGATCGAGACACCAGATGGCTCTTTTATGTGTTGTTGTAAATCAGGTAACAACAACGATCATCATACTTGGGTTGTGAGTATGCATCAAAAACTCACAGTGCAGATAGAAGAAATCATTGCCACGCATAAAAAGTCATCCATCATAATTATATTATTATATTATATATATATATATTATATATTATATAAATTATATATCAGTCACATCAACTGGATTTCTGAATGGATCGGTGTGCGATTCCGAGATGAGGAAAAGTGTCACCTGGACAGTCCTAACGAGCCCACGGATACTACAGACAGGTCAGCTTTCCGTGATCTAAGCTTTGTCAAGGGGCTCTATCATGATCCGGAGTATCAATCTCAGTTATCAATTCTTAAGTGAGCCATGATTTTCCATCGTGATAAGGCCTTCATACATAGGGCCCATCTCAATAAAATATGGTTGCTACAATGGAACATTAAGACCATGAACTGGCCAACCAACTATTTGGGCTTACCCCCGCCCCCCACCCCGCCCACGATTAGACAAAAAGTATCAACACTAACTGAGAGAGAGAGAGATGAGCTGAACAAAGAACTGATACGGTTGATATACAGCGGTTACAAAGAACGACAGGTTATAATAATCGACGTCAGTTAGTCATATATGATTGAGACAGAGCAGTATTAGGAGTAAAGGACGTATACGAAATCATTATCCCGGGTTTCAACCACACATCATGGTTCGTCATGTTATCTATCTAACCATCCATTCATCTGTCCGATGCGATTCCAGTGAGTCGCGCTGTCACCAATGCATCATACATGCGAGTGTAATAGCTAAACGGTGAAACACAGGATAAGTGAAGCAGATATATGAGAGAAGCATTCCCCTTTTGGGGGGTCGATATCAACACGTACACAATAGCAGTCAGTGCCGATTCGGAAGCATACGAATAGAAAAATGTTGGAGAATAGNNNATAGGGTCGATGGGGATTGAAAAGAGAGAGAGGGAGAGAGATGTAGAGCCTGGGGTTAAATAAGTATGTGTACGTGTGTGTGTGTATGTATGTGTTGGGAACATTGCCCCGGTTAGTAACGACGTCTGGCGAATAGAAGAAGCGCGCCTAAGAGGCTAGAGCTTACCTAAGGGCGTCGCCAGCGCAATTGGAGTCGTTTCCTAACAGGCGAGAACGTTTCGTATCGCAGTACATACGGATGAGGAGACCC